ACAGTAGAAACAGGATGCGCTTCAAAAGGACATAAGCAATGGCCCCCCAAAGTATCACTTTGAAAGCATCCCAACTGAAAGACTTGCTCGGTGCTACATATTAAAAAAGCCCGGGCAAATCATATACACTGCGGTTGGGAGATGAAGGGCGTTCTTATCAGTAGGCTTTATACAGGCGTAAGGCGCTAGATGGAGAAGTAGGAAATTGTCCTAGCTTCTAGTATTCTCCAGAGATGTAGAATATGTTGCCTAAAACGTAGGGCCTAAAACGTAAAAAGCTAGCAGTGGAACTAAATATACGCTTTTTCCCATGCAGCCCGCGGCAATCCGCCAGGAGAGATGCCATATGCATACTCTTATCTGTGCAATAGTACCTGTATTTCTACATATATCTCCAAAAGCAGATTTCAACCTGTTGCTTATATTTATAGTTCTCGTTTTAGTCCTGTCGAACTATACTAGAAATTTAAATAAGTACTGGGTAACTTTGACCCAACGCATGGTTGACTGAGTAGGATACTACTTTTATCAACAACATAAATTAAATAAACTAATAAAGCAGAGCCTGCTTATAGAAATGTATCTATGGTGGGAATATTTTCTGAGCTAAACAGTGAAACGTAAAAAAACAACAGATATAAAAAGAAAATTGTATATCATTGTACGCAACTGCTAACCTATTGCAGTAGTTATAGCCAAAGTTGCCAGCTCCTTTACAAAGCCCTTCATTTGAGAGATTATAAACAAAAGAACTTCAAATATGGTCAATGATAAAATGCAGGCAGCTGAGAGCCTCAGTCTTCGCTTTAACGGTGTAATCCCGAGGTGGGAATAATAATAAACATGTTATTATTTAGTGCACGACTCAAGTGACTGACGAGCAAAAAACAGAAATTAAACGAATGTGTACGATGATTCGATGACAGAAAATTGAAGCATCGTAATCGTATAGTCATCGGAAGGATTTTTCTACCCCTTTTGTCAACTACACAGATGTCATCTTGTCATATCTTGATTTTCAAAGGAAGCGCACCTTAGATTTTCATGAAAGTAAATACATATTAACGTTCGATACAGTTTTGTATTGTTACTATAGTTAATGGCGTGTTGAAATGGTGGCCGAAAGGGCTAAGCTTAACCTCTTTAGTCACCCTCTAGCGTAAATACGTTTCACATTAGCACACTGGCGTAGCGTATATTTAAGACTGGAAATATATTTGCTTTCAGGATATTAAAGTACATACAAACTGTATAGTGAAACTAACAACTCTGCTGGTGGCAACCGGAGCCAAAAAAATATTACTTTTTCTGTTCTAAATGTGTTAATGTAGTTTTTTTTTTTCCATCAATACATTGCCATGGCTACTCACTTTATAGTTGGGGTATATTCAATGCTTCGGCTACCATTCTTGAGTTCTAATATTTATCTGTCTCTGTCTCGAAAGTACGTTCCATCGAGAAGAGTACGAAAAATTTATTCGCTGCTTATTTCCACCGCGCGCACTTTGGAACGCCCACCAGGACAACTTATACTATTTAATCAAAAGGACCGGTTAACCAGCGTAGCCACGGGCCGGGTGGTTTCGAGGTAAGCCTTATTTTCGGTAGGGGATCAAGCTGTTTCTAACTGGCTGTTACTGGGATTGTGGAATGGGTCTGCCTGATACTATCAAAGTTGTTTGTTTGTTTTTTTTTGGAGGAGAAGTTGGGTAGGTGCGAAATAGGATGGATGAGCTTACACAAGAATACGCACACACACACACACACACACAGACACACGGCACATAAAGAAGGAACACTCTAAACACCTTATGTAACCAAGCTAACAATAATGTGGCATCATAACATTAACTACAGTACTTAGCCCCTATAGGACCCATCACTATCTAGACCTAGTTACTGTTCTGATACGTTAATGGCAAGAGGAGAAACGAAAACCATTTTAGCCTGATGGTAGCCTACTATTTGCTTTTGATTATATAGATACTTTTACCATCGCCTGTAATATACAGTGCAGAACAGCTGTGCTCATATAAGAAAAAATAAGGATACTCATTTTCCGGAACATGTTATACAAAAAAATGCAGCTTCCTTGCACTGCTGTGTTCTTTCATCAGGGTCAGCTGCTTCTGTCACGTATGATGACAGCTCTCTAACGAGTTCCTATTCGAAAGCTAAGATCCAGCAGATTAGGGGAACTTTTGTGGGGAACTGTTGTACAGGTTGGCCATGGCAGAATATCTCAAAGTTGAACGCAGAATAGCGCACATATGCTTAAGTGATTATTACAGGTTCTGTTGTCAGATCTCAAACAATCATTAGACAGAGTGGCCAACAAAAAAAAGCAGTACAAGCTAGAAACACTAGAAGTAAAAAACATGGCTTTAGAGAGTTAAGTGAGTAGAATGAAGATACGCCTTATTGCATAGCCAGTAACGACACTCGTATGTTACAATGACCTGCTGTTTGATGTTCCAAGTTCAAGCAGAGATAACTGAACAACAAGGCAAGCCAAAATAGAGTTATAATACGACACAAAGTTATAGTTGTCCACAGACTAAGCCAACGACTAAATGACGCTATACAGCAAAGTTTGAATCGAAAGTTTACACTGAACATTGAAATGAAAAAAGAAGCTATCAGCTAAGCGCATGTATTTTGAGACCTGGATAAGCTCATTCGTATGGGTGGCATTAGCAGGAAAAACAGAAGCAAACGTCTAAGCACAGGTCTACAGAAAACACACAGATAACGAGAAAGAAGCTACCTAAAGAAGCAGACTACCGAAATAAAGGCCGGTGACCTGTGAGAATGTGAAAACAGATGATGCGAGAGCCGTGCCATTAACCCATACCACTCAACAAACAACAGCTCATTAGGATGACCAGTTGAAAAATGGCATAATAGACCTGCTTGCTTTTTAACATTTCTATATTTTTTTTTTCTCTGCGATTGATGTATTCATTCTGAACAAACAACGAGATAATTCGAAAAGATAGTTGTGAGAATATTACCAAAAAATGTCGATCGGAACTGAGGGTAGTTTATATTAAAATGTTGTGTAAACAAAATGTGAAGTATGGAACTATGTCATCAGCTAGCCATATATCTAGCTCTCAATCAAGTCAACAGTCATCTCAATTAGGGCATCAAACAATTAATGAGAAATAGGTCTAGTAAAGACGTTCGTGGGGGATCAGAATGGGGAGCAGAAACCAAATATTAAATAGGTCGTGCTATAAGCGGTTCACCTTTTATTTAATAGAAACCGAATAGTTTTATATGGCAGCTCGTCTTAAAAGGCGACACAGATATTGGTAAACAACTTTGAACATTGCAAAAGCGTAGCTAAAACACTGACTAATTAAATGAGGTCAGGCAAATCATTAAAACTCTACATCTTTACAAGTGTTCCGGAGTTTATATGGACAAAAGTAGGTTGCATCGATTATCTGCATAGGATAGATAAACATGGTATCGAGCTACGAAATCTGTACGTAAGTTGGAAAATGTATATATAAGGAAATATATACATTAATAATAAATAAGGATGTATATATAGGTGAAAAAAAATTACCTAAACGAACGTAGCGTGTCTTAAATACAGAATTAGGAGGAAAACAAAAAAGACAAACTGTGTGGCAGACAAGGCCAACGATTTCCTCTTTGAAGCAGAAAGAAGCTTGGCCAAGTAGCGAGGGCAAATTATTATCAAAAACAATGGCTTCTATGCTGCCTCAAACATAGGAAGAGTGAAAAAGTTTATCAAGAGTTGGAAAAATGAAGAGACGTTTGAACAATATAAGTTGACGCCAATAACCCTAATACATACCTGTTCACACGAGCGTCAACCCCCTAGTAAAACTCGTTTTCTACACGAACATATAGCTTAGCTGCAGTGATTTCGATATCCGAAATCAGGAGTTCTAGAGATCTTTCGCAGTGAAAACCCGTCCCACTTCTAACTATCATTAGCTGTGTTATTAAATGTCTGATAATAGAACAATTAACTTAAAACCAATGCATAATTCTATCGGAGTAATAAGAAAGGGCTGGGGCACTACTGGAAGCAGTACTGAGCAGCTGCCTAACTTTATAAACTCGAAGAACTTTAAAAAGGACCATGAAATAAAATTCCAGTAATTGCTTTCTTGGACTTTTTGTTTGCATCTGGTACAATTGCAAGAAAGCGAGCTCCAAATAAAGCTTGAAATAACAGGGATTTTCGGGACAACACTGCAGGTTATTCTATCATAACTCGATGGGAAAGAATTACCTAAAAAATTATCAACTTTTTTTAAAGTATGTTCTATTGATTTTCGGCGTACTCCAGTTAGGCATGACATCGCCGATTAGGGTACGACATAGGGTGCGCCGACGACCCATGCATTGTGTACAGATTTCAGACACAAACTAAGAAATGAGTAAAAAACTTCCTGTTGTAGTGTTAAGTCATACGAAGCGGTTTCTCCTAAATGGAAGAAACCCCAATACAATACGCTCGGTCATTAAACAGAAAAAATTCCTAAAAGGATTACAACGTATTAAAACCAGTCAATGAATACATGCGGCTATTTCAAAATCAATATGATTCTCAAGACAAAGCGCTAACAAGCCAGCAAAAACGCGTAGGCCGACTTTTTTGGCAGCCATAGAATGCTGAATACAAAAGCACCCTTTGCTGGTTTATGAAGCTGTCCTTCCGCGCATTCTAGTACTATAAAGTACCTGAATCAAAGAAATCGCCTCCGCAAAGCTGAGATGTAAAGCAGCACCACTATACGTTCGAGAAGAAAATGCTGCCATTCGAGCTATGTTTGCAAATGCTACGACTTGGCGATTGAACTGTGGCACCTTCAACGCTCAGAGCGCACGGATCTAACAGACCTCCTGAAGTACGGCTTCGAGAGACGATAGAAACCAAAGACTCATTGATATTTACAAGCAACAATTCGCTGGCCAAGATTAGAAAGGAATGAAACAAGACCATCGCAACTCACTCCTAATAGAATTTTTCTTCGAATCCGGTGAATATACATGCGTGTATTTATTCTCACGCTAGCCCAAGTTTTAATTGACACTACAGCGCGAAAACAACGTACTTCTAAAGACCGCTTAGGAGGACAACTTGATCCGCTCGATGCATAATTTCGAATCAGCAGCAGTCTCATCAATCACTTCACACGTACGGTGTTTTGGGGCAGCGCGGTTGTTTGATTCGGATTATCCGTCATTTAATCCTCCACCTTGGTGTCACTTTTGGTGGCAATTTGGTGTTATTGCCACGCGTCAAAATGAACTGGCTTAAAAACAACATAATTTTGTTGTCTTACGTGGTGGGGGCAGATTGCTCGGTCTTGGTAAGAGCAAGGTTATTTGCGTCCGGTGTGCTTTACAGAAAGGTACAGCTTTTGCTTTAAAATGCGCCGTATGGTGCCTGCCGAGTTATTGAGTACATCGTCGTGTTAAATTGATGGACTGTCATGCACACGGCTCCGTATTAGGGCGATGTTATGAGTTGTCCATTCGAACCCAATGCATCTTACTACAAAGCAGAAGTTCAAACAAAACCTCAGCCGCTGTATAAAAGCCGGCAGTGCCAACCTGGAGGTCTTTGCATAACTTGCGTACGGAGCGAGGAATTACAAATCCCAACAAACAAGGTAGGTATCATTACTTTTACTGAGACGATTAGTAGTACGTTTTATACTACTCTGCTGTATGTAGACACGCGTTTTTTTTTTGTTAGGTCCATGGTTGCCATTGAACCGCAAAACAAACATACGTACATCCAATACGTATATGTATAGTAGAAGCATGCATGCGGCATTGCGGTCGAAATAGATATTTGGCTGCCTAGGAGCCAACCAACTGCCGGGCAAGCTTGAGCTGATAGTTATTATCGGAAATATCATTCCTTTCTTGTTCAAAGATAAAAGTGCACCGCGGGTTTTCGGCCATACTAGTAGAATGTGCAACGCCCATAACATGGAATGTGGGGAGCTATGGGGCTGTAGCTGATATATATATATGTCTGTTGTTCGCCAGCTTTGCTTGTACCCGTGTGCATATGTGTGACTTCGTTGGAACATACAGAATGTATGAACAAGGAACTCTTAGTTTCCAAACTGTTATTTGTGATTGTGGTGAAAAGGGGAATGCGTCCAGCAGATCGTTCCACTGATCCTTTCACGGCTGAGCTCATTGTGGGGAAGGCACTGAGATTCCTCTCGGGACTTGGCCTATTACTTGTAGCTAGTTGAGTGCTGTCAGCGGCGGCAGCGCAGACAGGTCGTCACATATATTTGTATAACGGAAATTAGGTTAAATTCGGCTATTGCTGGCCGACGGGTGGAGCTTCGATAGAACTGTTGAACACCAAATAGTCTGTAAGAGATCATAGGTGGCGTATAGAGAAAAAAGGCGTCTAGTTGAACCCAAAGGTAATTCACAGGTGGAAAAAGGTCTTGGCAGAGTATAGCACGGGCGCCCAACGTGTAAGTGGTTATACAGATATCGAGACCCTCGAATAGCGCTTCGTATGCACTACACTAAACAGTTCACGCTAAATACAGTATTTATGCTTCCAACCTCAAAAAAGTCTCTCCGTAGGATATTTACTGCACAATTGGCAACGAATTAGGCAATCGAAATCGTACTTTCTTCGATGGGCATAACTCGTACATGGACAGTGATCCCGTATTTCGTATATTATTAGACCCTGCTGATATTTTAAATTCGAATAAGCAAGACGAGAAATTACTCGAAACATTAGTTTCAACTATACAAGCCAATGGATGAAGTACATACTTCGGCTTTTTTTTTTTTATAGACAAACAGTAGTTTTTGGGGGGCTAGAAATGCAACAAATTTAATAATATGAATGTGAAAAATGATATAGATATTAGCACTTCTGATTTTATCTCGCTTTCCTTTCAACTGCAACATGTTTTTTTTTTTTTAAATAGTTTTTTAGTGTTTTAATAGTATTTATTTTTTGATAGGTGGTCTGCACCATCGTACTTAACGATAGCCACGCTACTGCCAAGTTAGCTGCAGCAAGCATCTATAGTCATCCAACCCAATGAGTGTGTTTGTGGTATTTCGAATCAAAAGCAGATTAGTGAAGTCGCCCGAGCAATTCTTTTAACAGACAAACAGAAATAAAAAGCTGGAGAAGTATGAATTTACATCTTCACTTTGTTTTGGTTTAGCTATTCAACTAATTTTGCAGGTCGAAATAACTGAGCTAAAGGTCTGCAGTGTAGATCAAGGGCTATTTCATTGGAAGGTCATCCAACAGCGTACAAAAAATTATATACTCGTGCGGGAATGTAGCAACTTTTACGAAGCCTTAAGCAGCTGGATGTGAGATGGCAATTGCAGACGGAAATCCATTGCAAGGCACGTAGGAAACATGTGTTATACATAAGAGCACTGGTAAGTTTACATAGTTTGGTCATTAGACCGGTTATTATTTGAAACACGAATCTGAACTTAAGGGCATATCGATTATATTGTTTCCCTGATCACTGACCAGCGGCCCTGTCGCCAGTTCACTTGTATATGACGTAACTTACGCCATACATCAGCACCTGTGTCTTTGCCGGATTTCTATTTAACGGAATAAGTAATACACGTTAATTTTTATGGCCGTATTTTATTCCGTATACCCTATGCTATACTCGTCCTTCCTTTCGTTTACAATATAGTGTAAAGTCTACGACATTCGTAGTCTAACCGTCCGTTTTGAACAATAACAATCAGAATATGCCTCCGTAACGAGCAATTCATTAATGTAAACAAATCCGTCGAACATACGTGTCAGTTCCGTCCCGTTTTTCTTTTGTCTCTCTCCTAGCTTTGTTTGAAAGGAAATTAGTATCACAATCCAAGTAGCAAATTTATTCGCCCACCGTTAATCGTCGTACACGACTAGCACGATCCATAAATAGCTAAATAAACAAATCTATACTCATAGCAAATAATCACTCAAGTAACGTTTGCTATTTTGCACACAATGATAATTTAACGCGCATTCTTTTTTCCCAGTAAAGCACAGTCAGAACTTTGCCACCGGACAATGCTGCACCGGCAGCACACTGTCGCCTCAACAAGGTACAAACGAACATTTTTTTTGGAACTTGAACGCTATATTGTATTGAAAAACGACGATCGATAAAGAAACAAAAGAAAACCATAAATTGTCCTTTTGAGAAGAAGAAGAAGAATTCTACTGAAACCTTTATTTATTTGACCCATCAATTGGTTCACAGGTATTTATCTTTTAGAATTCTCACCAGGAAACATCAAGAAATATTGACCATTGCTTGTTTAACCTACTTTATAGTTGCATAGCATAAATATTGCTATTTACACGATTTCTGTATTTGAAAACTATACGTTTGCATTTATGTTGTAGATTATAACCGAAAGTAAGGATATCTAGACGGTAGTGGTCTTCTCGTCGTTGAGACGGTTCTAATGATTGCATAATCATGACGGGCGTTTATACAGTGTTTTCAACTGTTGTTTTCGCGTGCTGTGCTATGGTCTCATCACATATAAGGATAGTGTTAATCGATGCAAAATCCTTTTTGGATATCCAAAAATAAAACTGTAGAAGGTAAAACAACATCGTTGGTTAGTCGTGGCCAGAGTCCTTAGGATCTTACCCATGGCGACACGCCGTCGTCGGACTTTGGACCGGACGGGATGGTTTTTACCGTTTATTTATAGGCGTATTACTATCTATCTCAATTATGCATATCACATGCGAAAGCGATGCTGCAGGAAGCTCCAACATGGTTTGTAGACGAGCCCGAAAATATATTCGCTAGCTACACGGACACGTTCACACCCATCGGAGTCTGACACTCGCCGCTTGACGAGTCTGTTAGCTGACCTTTGAAGGTTTCGATACGTGAATTATACATCGCGAGCTAGCTTTCCAAATTGGAAACTTATCTCCTGACAGCACAACGAGTATTTAAATCGAAGAAATACATATTTTGCGTATTATGTAATATAATAGTATTACGTTAGGACTTGAAAGGAGGTGGAAATAAATGCTCTAAAATATACAGATCATGTCACGGTAAACAGTCAGGTCATCAACATAATATTTGATCAGCGTAAATCAAAGAATCATGCACGTCAGATCGCACGGATTATCACAGGAAATCTTAGGAAATTAAGTAGACTTTTCTTGCATATTCCAGTATGGGACAACGTCAATGTAAAATAAAGTTACAGAAAGGCAGTGGGGAAAAAAAACTTCATCCACTTAAATGGTCACACCGATTTCGATTTTCCCTTAAAGATAGGTATGGAAACCGGAACTGAATTTGGACTAAAGCGAGTATTTAGTTTTAAATTCACTAGTAATCGAACTTGGATAAAAACAAAAATTTTAAGATCCATCATTTGTTAAAGACAAATATTACCCGTCATTATCGCGTCAAACAATTAATTTGTCACAGTGTTTATATATACTGAAAGAGCAACGTCAGTTTCAGTATGCTGATAGCTATGAAATGGGCAGCCTGATCGTCAATCCAATCTATAATATTATACTGATGTAAAATTTACATTATTTTCAGCCCAAAATGAAATCAGGAATATGAAACGCGTGTGCCGATAAATACATAACGATAATTTTTCGTACTATCATTAAACATTATACCTGTTGTTATGAGTACACGAATAATTGATAGAAAGCACAAAGCTGTGATCACGTGCTACGCATGTATGTATTTAGATGGTCAGGTCTGCCGCACTGATCAACTGTTACAATGTTGTAACGTTTATCTCCATTAACCAATAGAACACGCAAGGTATTTCGCCTAGCGCACCCCCATCTGCATCTACGAAGCACTCATCATTCATTATTCGATTTATTCGTTTTGATAGAAGCGGCAAAAGGGTGATCATCACACGAACTTTTGTCCTTTCAAATATTCTCTTAAGTTATTTCGATAGCAATATAAAAGTGTAGCCATTTACATCGAGTAAATGTATAGCGCAAGGTTTGCGCACAAAAAAAACCCACCAACGCGACGAAGCATTACGTTAGATAGTTGCACTGCATCAGTTCACAAACTTGGTCCTAAAAGACGCTGGGTCTTCGCGCCTAAATCTCTTTGCCGTTCAAGATTGCTTTAAAATATCCTTGAAAGGAGACTACCAATCTTCATTCAAGGTATGGCGCTAGCCAAAAATCCGAGCCAGTGGCCATTTCTATCGTATAGATCGGGCAGAACGGCAGGCGTCACCTACGATTATATTTATACTTTAAAAACCTAAAATCAAAAAGCTACAGGCGTAAGGTTGAATTCAGCGTTGTACAACGATTACTTACGAGCGTTAACGGTTCGTCTCTGTGTTCTCAAATTTAAATTTAGTCAAACAAATATCAGCATTAGGCCACTCTTGATACCTCTAAATTGAAGGCTTTGGATGAAAAGGTAAATAATCTCATTTATTAGAGATTTCTAGTCTGAAAAGAGGGTGTAATCCGACGACCTAATTCTGTTCAAACATGTGTCGATGAACCAGCTTATTATCGAATAACTGCAGATGGCACAAAGAAACCCTTTAGAATAACAGTTTAGTTTTGTATAAAAGTACCTGAACTGATTTCGAATTACCGGTTGTTAAAACAGGACCTTTAAATTCACACGACTTGAACTCTACATGCCTAACACTGAATAAGAGAACGAAATTATATATACATATACATATATGTACATAAAAACACGTTATGATTGGGACACTTTCTTATTCTATTTCATAAATTTGCTAATAAAGTCTATTTACAATTTTGTCAGTTTGTTAATTTAAAATTGTCATTATTGGCAAAGATATTTTTAGAAGCGCGCAGGTAACATAGCATTACATAGATTTCGTGAACATTTTCACATATATATATATGACTGTCCTAGGTATTCTATGTATATAATATGTATATATATATATAATCAGTTTAGGGAACACAGCCAACCCTTAAAAATTGAAAAAGTCTCTCTCAAGGACCTCATTCTTTTCTGAAGGCCGTCGTAGATTCTGCTCCGTAGCTGGGGTGAAGTCGACGGTCGAATTTTGCTGTTGTCATGCGCTAGGGATTTTTCTCCTGTCTCCATAGTGGCCCATTGTAAACCGAACAGTGGGTTGTGCAGGACTCCTCCGTGTTGAATTTGCAGCTCCGGAATGTCGCCCAGGTCCTGGTCGTCCTCATCGTCTCCAATCAGTTTCTTCATATCACTGGCACGATAGGTAGCTAACAAATTCATCTTGGGCGAACTAAAAACAGTTGACGCATAGACACGAATCGTCTTTAGCATCGCTACTGCTGCGAGATTTGATGTCTAGTGTGGCTAGTGTAATTATAAATTTTGCATCGCAACTTTCTAAGCCTGGACCCATTCGTGTTCCTTCGTCTATCTATCTATCTATGTAAGCTGGCACTCAGCGTACGACCTATTTTCTGTAAAACGTTTACTTAAAGAGTAAACATTCACAGTAATGAGACGAGTACACAAACGCTTAAATAACTACGTTATACAGCTGGATTGCTCCTCACTTGAGCGAAGCATCTTCATGCCGCGTGCCAATAACAGACAACAACTCAACAGCAGTACAAAAACAAACTAGATTAGTGTACATATGCAAAAATGAGTATAAATAAGGTTGGTGCAAAGGTTGCGTTAGAAAAAGGACCCTTTCAACCTGATTAGGGCGACCAAAAAGCTTTTTAGGTTTTGCAACTATTGTTTGCAAATCTGTTGTTTATAGATTGCACAGAACGCATGCACGAATATGTCACAATATTTGTGACAATATTGTGAGACGGTTTTTACAGCATGCGCCAGTAATTTAATAGTGACAAGTCACGTCTGATGACTACTATTTATAGCAGCAACAGCATTTCTTGGTGAGAGCAGTGAAGTTTTTTTTTTTCTGAATCTCCAGATAAAAAGGTTAATCTCGCACTGTTCGATGTACATTGAAAGGACGAAAATCCCACATAGGTTTACAGAGGTAGCTTCTAGACTGTTGCATTTTATCTGTTGTTGTTTCCATGTTGTGTCAACATCGTGCTTATTAAGTACTCACAGCTGCGATGTGCACCGATGGAGAACAAGTAGAATTGTTCCGCCAATAAGTCCGACAAGAAGCAGTGTTACAATTAGCACAATTAGCGTTCCTGATGATAGTTCATGATAGGAAACATCACATCGAGCACCGCTATAACCTTGGGAGCATTCACACCTTGCCAGCTTCTGGTTCCGGTGCAGGATGCATCGACCGTGCACACAACCCGGATGACAAAAGTCATGAACCGCGGCGTCTGCGAAACGCGCGTCCATGTCGTCATCAGTTAGCGGAATACATGTCCTATTGTCGTGGTCTAGCTTGAACCCAGCGTCACATGCGCACACGTGTCCGTGTCGGTTGCGCAAGCACATGTGCCCACAACGAGCATTTAAGCACGGGTTGAAGCACGGGGGCTGGCGCACCTTGTGAAGGACGGTCATTAGCGATGCGTGCACTTTGGGTGCGATCGATGAAATTGTATTTTTCGAAGGGAACCTGTTGACGAAAGGACCGAAGAGCAATATTCTATCTGCTGCAGTAATGTTCAAAATCTAAATGATTCAATTCAATTGACTTAGTTTAATTTTTACATTAATAGATAATAGATAGAGATATATATATATATATATATATGGAGAATGCCGAGGAAATCATTTATGAATGAATATTCTGAGCAGAAGTGCTGTTCTACTGGAAGCCGAAAGAGAAAATGCTAGGATGCAATATATTTAGCAGCTACGCTAAGAGGACATGGATTGAATACTAACGACATAATCATTTGACTTGGGGAGCCAGTAGCTGTTAAGTAACGTGGCTGTGTCAGCCAGTGTTCATCAAATAGCATGCAATTCATGTAAAAATTCGGAAGCGCGCAATGCAAGTTCGAGGTTGACCAGACCAGTCGAGGCGTACATACCAGTTTTTCTTGAAGATGCCATTATGCTCTGACCAGATAAGTAAATCAGGTAGTAATACAAACGCGTTTACGTGATGGCCACGTAGTACCACCTTCCGATTATTGCCCTGGAAATCGAAGTGTTCAATCACTTGAAGTCGTGAATCAGCGATATATAGGCGTCGGTGAATAAAATCGACCTGGAGATGACTAGGCTCTATTGTTCTACTCTCGATGATGACAGCCTTTGCACCCCCATCCATTTCCGAGCTTACAACCACACCGCTCAAAGAACTGGTCGAATGGCCAGCCCAATACGAATAGAACATTAACCTGTTTGGAAGGGTGAATGCAGAAGAGGCCGTTAGGTACAAATCGTGTACGATACTGCTACGACGAAGAACGCGAAACAGTACAGCCTTCTTTTCCCCCTGATCTGTAGCGAAGCTGGCCTATAGCTATGTTACTGTTATAGCAAAATTTCAGTTCATACAACTAGACAATTTAATGTTTCTAGCTGCTGACCGATGTGTCTTATGCTCGTGTTGAGCAATTACCTTGACCAACTAGACCAAATAAACCTTTCTAGTACGACCTAATCATTTCTCACCCTTCATTGGCGGCGAGCGCTAAGGAGCGAATTCCCATCCAACCGTCAAGTCCTTCCATGTGAATACAATGCGCGCACGTCAGATTGCAAGCAACAATCTTTTCGTGTCCTTCTACCATATACATATTGCCAGTGACCCAGTCTAGAGAAATATGACGCGGCATAACGAAACGTGTTGCTTCGATCACTTCCTTCGGATTAAGGACGGCGTCTCCGAGAGGCAATTTCCAAATGCTTGAGTCGTCCGAAAAATACAGCACTTGAGTAATCGCGTTAAAAGTCAACCCGCTAATCATACTGTCGTGTTGAGGTGTCATGCGGGTCATTAAATGATGTCGACTCGACATTGCGCGAATCTCATTATGTGAGACGAAGGCCAGAATAGGAGGTACTCCGAGCAGTTTGCATGTCTTGTTGTCCATAGCGATCTCGTAGCCGGCACTGCAGCTGCAGTAAAAGCCACCTTCTGTGTTCATGCAGTAATGAGAGCAATCGTCCTGATGGTCTTCAGCGCATTCGTTGATATCCTCACACGAACGACGATCTTCTGCAAGACGGTATCCCTCGTTGCATGAACATCGGAATCCTTCGGGTGTAGCGAAGCAGTGATGTTGGCACGGTTTACTATCACATTCGTTACGTAGGCAATGACGTCCTTCATCACCACCGTCGTCGCAGTCGTGGTTGCCGTCGCAGAGAGCAGCCAACTGAATACATTTCCCACTGCTGCATCTGAACTGATCATTGTGACAGCTTCTGGTGGGCGTCTTGTGACCGTTTTGAGCCTTTATGACAGAGCATTCGGGCAACGTCTCATCTGAGTTATCGCCACAATCGTCCTCTTCGTCGCAGACCAGGCCATACAGAATACATTTGTTGTTGCTGCAGAGGAATTGTCCCGAAGCGGAGCAGTGACTGCTATCGGTATGCGTACAGTTAGCCTCGTCACGTCCATCGAGACAGTTGGTCATACCGTCGCACAGCTATGAGTTGTGGGGAACAAAAACAACAGCGTTTCACGTGAGTTACAACGCAGCTAGGTAACACCGAACAACATCAGGAGCCGGATATTAACGAGCCGCTTTCTCCGACAGACGTATTTGTCCAGGACTAGTAAAAGCTTTAAGATGTTTTTCTGACAACCCGCCAGAAATACCTATAAATATAGGTAGGTATTTCTGGCATGCATAGGGTAAAACGATCGCGGAAAATGGTCATGACATTCGTTTTACAATAAGGCGTTCATGTACAATTTGACAATGTAAAACCAAAAAGACTTACATTTGCCAAATAAGCTCACAATTCATAACTACTCACCTCTTTGTAGTAAACGCATTCACCATCGCACCAAATCACGCCTTGCTTCTTCGCGCAGAAGAACGGAACGCGTTCCTTCAAGCCCGTCCGTACTCCGACGTACGTACAGTTCGCCTCATCACTTCCATCGGGGCATTCAATGAAGTTGTTGCACATCGAATCTATTGGGAGGCACAGATCATTACCGCATTTAAACATCTTCGGTGAACAAGACAACGGACAATCCTGCTCGTCGTCGCCGTCCCAGCAATCCTCGACGCCGTCGCAAACCTTTCCAGAGTCAATACAGCGGCGCCCGTCTTTGCAAGCGTATTGCCCCTCCTTGCATTGGCAGTCGATCTCGTCGTCACCGAAGGCGCAATCGATTCGACCGTCACAGCGTTGGCTTTTCGGAACGCATTTCTGGGTGTGCAAACACTGATGCTCCGTAGCCGTATCACATTTATGTGATGGCACTTTAAGAACACAAAAGTTCTCATCGAAGCTATTCGGACAATCGATATGATCGCATATGGCTGAATCCGGAACACATCGGCCCAGATCACCACATTTTATCATTCCTATCGGACACTTCGTACATAGAGTAGAGTTCTCATCCGAGCGATCATCACAATGTCCGATGTTGTCACAGGTCAGGCTCCTATCGACGCATTGGTAGCCGTTTGAACAGGCGAATTCGTGTCTTTGACATTGGGCCCTCGGCATGGCCGTGCAGTTCCTCCCGTTGGGTTCTGTAATTAGGTTAAGTAGTGAAACCAGTGTCCAACAAATGAACAATGAGCGGACAACTCATTGTCCGCTAAAGAGAGCATTTCTGCCAAGTATCTGTATTTCGTGAAGAATAATTGCTGCGTCAGGAGTCGTCTATGTTTCCCCGATTTAGAGCGAAATATGCCGCCGCTCCAAGGTCTATTCTGTACGTAGCCTATTTCGCTTCGCATAGCGGGCTGTCTGATAGACCAAACTGTCACCTATTTAAGAGCCTTTGCTTTTAAAAGGTTTAATAGACGAACTCGGTCGTAGTTGTTAAACTGTATTAGCAGTTCTCGTAGCGCGAATCCTTATCCGCAACTTTGCGTCTAATGCAAGCTACCTGTATGGGCGCACACATTCGCTAGAGTACACCCTGTTAACAATACAGCCTATCGGTTCACAAAATATGTTTATAATGCGAGTGTTCGTATTTAGTTGGTCTATTCTATTTACATCGGAGATGTATACCGTACCTAGTTGCATGCCGATGGGGCAAAGACAAATCAAGCTTTCCATGAGGCTGTCAATGCAAGTATGGGAGCATCCGGCGTTGTTTTCGTGACACGGGCCTGAAAGGGCCGTCGGCATCTTTTCTCTATGGAAGGCCAACGCTGAAGTGAATGCAATCCACTCTTCTCGGCGAATCTTTTTTTTGCAAAGAAAGGTAAACAAAGCATCTTGCTCGATTAGCAGTCGGCGACCTGAGCAGCTTGGGAATGAAATTAATGGTAAGCCAACCTTTATGATGATTTATTATCGGAGTAAAGCTATGAGAAAAAGAAAAAAACATGAAAGAAAGGAAGAAAAAAAACAAGAAGTTAGAAAAGCCGAACGCACTTGCTTAACTGTCCAGCCATTTGGTGCTGCACTAAAGAAGCCCTGTTGACGCAGTCCCGACCAGACCAGGTTCGATTCCCAGAAATAAAGATGCTGAACATACGAGACGTTGTGAATTGTGATAACTGTCTCTCCTGACCTCACATCGAGAGAATCGATTTGTTGCTGTTCAGCATCGTAAACAAAAACAATAGTTTCCTTATAGTCCACGGCAATTCGAAATGGTCGTCGTCCGCGGGGCTTCAGTGCACGCTCAAACTTCCCATTAGAGCGGTATATATTAATTACGCGTGCGGCCGTGGTCTTGTTCACAACAATAACGTACATCCGTCTGTGGAGATGGCCATTAGTAACCATTAGTCATGCGGCTTGTAATCATTATGTCCACATAAAACTTATACTCACAACTTAAATCAACGAAAGTTAAAAACAACAAAGGCGAATCCAATCGCTAACTAGTGATATTAACCGGAACAACCATGCTATGTTAGTGCATATCGCGATCGACGCAGAACACTATTATCATTGTCGTATATCAAAAAAAGCCTCATACTTACAACCAGACAAATAAGAGTTCAGGTAAGTGTGGTAATATGAATAAAGAGCCATTAGAAAGACCAGGTACTATTCTGTCAAAACGAAAACTAATTAAATATAGTAAGAAGAACTTGCCCTCGGCTAAAATCAACGGCAAAATCGATTGGACTGGTTACGTCGGGATTCTCTAATCGGAAACGAGATTCCTCGTTCCGTTGGGGGTTATAGACGCCAATGACAGCCTGCGAGATGTCCAACCAATACAGCAGGCGATGGATGGGATCGAAATGCATCGTCGTAACGTAATCGATGCTGACATTGACCGTTTCCGGCTGGTAGTTGTCTTCTAGCTTGATTCTGATCATACGGGGGGTACCATTATCTTCGACGGCGTATAGCATGTTTTCAGCGTCGTCGAAGGCCATAGTAGCGACGTGGGGAATCTTCTTCGCAGTTGTGGTGGCGCTCAAATCTTGACCGAGAGCAGCGTCGGACGGAACAAAAATGAGCTGTTCGCTTGCGGCCATCATGAATGACGCTGTACTCAATTCGCATTGTGTTTTCGATACTAACTTATAATAGGAAGGACAAAGGCAAGCGAAGCTTTTTTCGCTAGGACCAGAGATGACGCACAAGTGGGAACATGGATTGCTTTTGCACGGATTTTTTCTCGGTGGCTGCATCAGAGGATGGTAGGCTCGTAATGTGAAGATAAATTTGCCTGAATTGGTTTCAGTGTGGATAGTAACATTCTTGCCGGTAAGTTTGTCGCATGATGCCACTTTGCTACTGTGATGCCCCAGGTCTGACCAGTAGAGATGATCACCAAAGACGGCAAGTCCTGAAGGGTACCTGTTCGCCGGCAGTGCGATGAGCTCGCCTCGGACGCCCGAATCGGTACGGACAAACTTCACGCGCAGATCCGCAGCCTCAAGCCAGTAGAGTCGGCTGGCAAATAGATCGAGTGCTAAACCGTATGGCTTAGTAACACGTTCCGTTACAAGAGCCTTTTTCAGCTTGCCGTCCATTGATCCTTCATAGATTCCCTTTTTGTTATCATCTAAATCGCTCCAAAATAGACGACCTTCGATTGGATCAAGTACTATATAATGAGCTGAGCCAAGTTCAGTAAAGATTTGAGCGCATATCTCCTCGCTCGGCCGACAAACGACGATCGATGAGATCAGTGCGTCAACTATGTACAAGTTGTTCGTTATCCAATCTACTGCAAGATCTACAATTTCGCCGAGGTGTGCATGATGCTTAAATATGGCATTAGCTCTAGCGCCTCTTGTACTTGACATAAGACGACATCTCCTCGTTTCATGATCAGCCGTTACGATATACAGAATACTATTGCCTATACTTATGTCGAATGCTAGAACCGACGACGCCGAACTTGGGTCAGTGAATTTAGCGAAATACTCATGGTTCGCCGCGTCTAGTTCGAGTACTTGATGTCCCATAGCAAACAGGATCGACGGCGGACCTTCAGCTGCATCGATCTCGCAGCGCTTTTCAGTTGTTAGATGAAATCCAGTCTGACACTTGCATTTCACCGTTTGTCCTAAAAATTAGTCGCGGAGAAACACAGAACGTCAAAAGGCAACGAGAACAAGCCACTGAGACAAATCAAATCTTCAGTAAAGGTCACACAGTGAACATAACGAGATCTGTGTAGACACTCCTATACCGAGACTAGGTTTATAGAGGTATTTTAGCTTAACGTGACGCTATTAGTTTGCATGCTCTGTGATGATTCCGCATTTCTCAGTATCAACAGAAACTAGGATAGAGTGAGGTAGCAACGAAAACAGTGCCGACTGTGCCAGTTCGTAACGGTGCAGCTGTCCAGAAGGAGACGATTATTATGACTGGTAGATAGAGCGATGTTTCTATCCGCACGTAGAGGTGCGTAGCTAGCCGATCACATGTTACCCATACCTATTTGGTCGCATTGCTGCGAACAACCTTCCGCCATGCAGGAATCGGCTATTCGACAGTGTTGGCCGTCAAAAACATCGTAACCCGGTGTGCAACCACACATCGATACGTTTCGGTGACGTATACAGAAATGCTCGCAGTTCTTTAAGCATGGATGCTGAGAGCAGAGTGTCGGGGCTTCATCGCTATTATCTATACAGTCCTTCCTTCCGTCGCAGATCTATGATGTTCAAAATAAAAGAAGGTCACATTTGAAATTATTGGAAATTGATTCATATTTGAAATTTTGGTGATTTGCAATTATATTAATTTATCTACCAAATGTTCAAGCGTCTTGAAAGAAGGATATTCAGTTAGTAGTTAACACAACAATCCGCGGTCAGTGTATCAGTATTGTTACTATATGAACATTCTATTTCTCTCATTTATGACACGGCATACGGTTGATTTTTGCATCTATGCATATCATACATAGCGCGATAAATATATCTATCATAGTAAGTGCCCCAAGTTCCTCGCTGGTAGGCTTTTGCATGGTCCATGATTTATTCTTTGTTGACGATGAAGTGCTCTCTGTCTAAAGCAGGTAAGCTGAGCTTCATCTGCTTTAATTAAATATGATTTTCATCAAATTGCAACTTTACATTATCATGTGAACTTATCATAAACCCTATGTGATGGATATGTTCCATCTACATGCCACTAAAGCACTATAGACCAAAGCTAATAGTAGAAGTATTGGCCTCTTACCTGCTCACTCTCAATGCACGTCCCTCCCTTTTCACAACGAAAGCCTGAACAGTCATCTAGAAAAGTGCGCGAAAGCCAATTGCCTGGGTTACTTCTATTCAGATCGCAGTGAAGCTCATCGCTACCGTCCTCGCAGTCTTCACGTCCGTCGCATTGCGCCAGCTTCATTACGCAACGTGAGCCATCAAAACAACGAAATTCCGGGCAACTTTTTTCCCCTGTGGAGAGCGTGGGCCATCGAATTAAGCAAGCTTAGAGAACAACTACTAATTCGAAACTGGACGAGGTTTTCCGTCGATTTCTGCCTAGATGAGATGTGATGCGCGAATTATACGATCCGCATAAAGGGCCTAATATTCAAAGATTTTTTTACTGGCGTTGTTCCTATCGAGAAGGTCAGGCGGTTGATAGGAACACACGAAAATTACACAATCCGGAAACCCGTCGCATTTTAAAATGTCTATGACAGGGTTGCCATTGTCGCATTGGGATTGCGTGCTGTGGTTACACCCCGCACGGAGTGGTAGATCCATAAGCAGTGGCAAACGTTCGTAAAAGTTCACTTTGCGTAGTACATTATTTATTACTATAGTTTTATTATTTTTATTATTAATATTATTATTATTATTATTAATATAGATATATTATTAGATTATATTATGTATATGAAATTTTAAAAAATGAAGAAATTTCTGTAGACCAACTCTAACTTAAAATAACGTTTCAATTTCTTAATTAATCTATCGGTTACTTCATTTGGCTATTTTCTAAGCCCCGATGCTCTAGCAGGACATGACGTCGTTTGCTTGAGGCCGTTTTAAGCTTGATCGCACTCACCTGCATTCATTCCCACGAGGCCGATGTTACTAGCATTCGAAACGACCTCAGATAAAACCTGTAATTTTGCTGTGTTTTATTAAAACAAAAGACCTAATTAATAGTTTGAATGTATCTGACGCAAAGCGGGTTACTGGCTACTGTTCTGCTTATCAGATCCATTTTTACAGTCTTCCTCGCTATCACACGCGGAGCTCGTTGGGGTATACGATATTGATCGTGGCAATCGAACATTGTATGGATGCACCTTGCCGCCGTTGGTCGCAAATCATCAGTATCATTCGCATCAGAATTACACTATGTTATAGTAGAATGTTCCCTTTTGGTTTCTTCCTTAAAGAGTAGTAGCGAGTTTTTTCCCTTTTTTCTAAATACAGAGCTTCGATGCATGTGACGATGCAAAATAGCTTTTCTAGATACACAGTCTTCTTTTCAGCCTACGACATCACCAGTACGAAGCATTTCATGTAACCTCGTAATGAGCCCAGCTGCACCTCCAATTAGCTACGCGGTGAGTCAATTTTTCGGCCTAATTCGGGGAATGGTAGACGTATCTACTTTATGTTGATAGCATACGCTGTGTGCTAAAAAAAACACATTACCGGATCTTCATCGCAGGCAAAAGAAGCCTGAATATAAGTACACTATTAGTATATATGTATATAGATATGTATATATAAAGTGCCACATTATACCTACAGTCATATAACCGTTATACTTCGTATGTAAGAATTTTATCTATTGGAAAAGCATAATCAAATGTTCTACATCTGTATCTAGTTTCTCAGCTGTATGCAAGCATTGTCAGAAATAAGAGCTATTATGCTTCACTTCTATTATAGGAACCTCAAAATATCATTTGCAAAGGAGCATTGGAGATAATCGTCATGAAGCAATCTATGCAAGACCATATAATCGATGGTACTCACCAGAATCGATTGCTAGGGCCATCCCCAACACGACTTCAAGGGATAACTTCATTTCACCGGCGTCTGACAATTTGCACGAGGTGAAGTTGACAGAGATTTATCGCCGACTGCTGTTTGCCCAAAAGCGGTCCCTTGGAGTGCTGAGAATGGCAAACGCAGCACCCCATAGGCGCTTGTCTGATGCAGGTTTGTATCGTTCACGTTCACGCTGTGTGCAGTACCGTGCAGGTGCCTGAGTAGACGTCACTGTACATGTTCGATGTGCAGTGGACCCAATACGACCTCGCATTGATAATTATTCGGACGATAGAATAGTTTAGCGTGACACAATCCGTGCGCAATAGTTCGATAGGCCAACTATTTTGAGACGGTTTTCAGGGTAAGGCTAGTTTAGAAAGTCAGCGTTTATATATATATATATATTGTTTCAAGCACCAATGCAATCAGCTGTTACCAGAAGAGAATGACCTGTTTATGGCAAAGGTCGGTGATGAGTCATGACCTAAAGAAGTACGATTTATCTGATCCGTGCATCGTAGCGTGCCATTATCAAACCAGCAATTGTAGCCTGATACCGGCAACAAATGGTTTACAGAATTAATTAGGATTCGTTATTTCCGTTGTCGTTGGATAAAATAAGCTAATTCTGATGATCGCTGAATAACGTTTCAGCCAAGTTTTTGTTGGGAAACGAAAATGTGTGAACATCGCAATTTTTGTAGAAGGACATTTGGCCTTAAGCCGTTCTTGCTCTGTCATCATTCTTCAGTCAGATTCTCTCGTCGACAGGACGCTTCGAGTAGCTTATTGAGGGTTCGTCAATTGACTCTGCGAGAGTAATTGAAATACTGAGCTAGAAATATAACGTGTTCTTTTTTGTTGGCATTTTTTCGGGAGCTATAGCAGTCACAATAGTAAATGTATACACGAATGTGTATCTCTTTAGATCATGCGTCAACAACATCGGTCAAAGATGCACAATACTATGTGTAGCTTAGAATGGTGTGATAATGTAACACAATATATAAATAGTGTTGAATGAATCTATACGTTATAATGAGCGAACGACACGTTTAATTGCGTATCACGTAGAAGAAAGACGATACTCCTGCTTCTGAACGAAACATCTATAGAGAAAAACAGACGCTTGTAAGCTCCCTATCATGTACCCGATTGGAACGGATCGATTTACCTTGCGATCGTGTCACCTATTTTTTTTTTTGAGATGGATGACGATTTTGACATAGAACATAGCGCTAGTATACGATAGACATTTAGCAAACGCACCCGAACCCTATGATTCCGTCAAGCTCCAGTGTATTACTACAACGCTTGAAATGCAAATATAGCGTGTTTTTCACATAAATTTATGTTTACTTCAGCTAAGAACATTTCGATTCTCAACACGCTAATGACTTCCATGTCACATTTGTTTCCGAAAAATTTATATATGTCCAGCTTTTCTACCTGAACCGGTGATAAGTGAACGAATGCTTGCACTCGAACGCGCCATTTCTATTGCGTCAAAAATAACGACCACCGTACTTTATTTATTTATTTATTATTATTATAGCTACATATATAGAGACAACCCGAAGTGGCGCTATATTAACGGTCCATTCAGCTTTGCTGTTGCATCATCGTTAGACATTTAACTGGCGCTTTAAGAGCAATGTCAATTTTTGACTGTCAAAGGATTTAGAGGACACAGTTCCTGTGCGTCGGCTCGATGATTCCTTTTTGGCCGTTCAATCTAATCCGGCTGTTGCTGCTTGACGCCCTCCAGATCCTTAAGAAGCCTTGACAATTTACTTTCGCCACTGTATATCATCTCGTTATAGGTGTGAAGTTCATTGGAGAGCTTCTTTGCGAACTTGCCCAATTCCTCAGCTCTAAAACAAACAAGGATTGACAATACTATTCTACCGAGCACTATCTACGATCAAACTTTGAACGAGATTGTTTCCATTTGGCCTAGGTACATACTGGCCATAATTACACTCCGAAGTGTAGACCTATTTGTTTGCTGTTCAGTGCACACCAGAAATGCTTTCCTGTACATTTTGCCCTTGAACTTCACTATAGAATTTTTGCAGTCAGCTCGAAGCGGGTCTAGCTAAGCAAGATTCACATTCTCATTTGTAGATTACATCGACTATAGCTGGCTGTAAGTCGATGCGATCAACTCATATTACCGATAGCACGTATCTTCCCTGGTCTTGGATTATACGGAGATAATATGTATATATATAATAATAGCCAGGTCAATGTCTGTCATGAAGCTTCTTACGCGCTAGTCTAAATAAGATACTTCATCTCTAGAATGAAAATATTAGAAGGCATGTTCGCTTGTTAGGCACGGAACTATTGCAAAACATCTGCTTACCGTTTTGCAAGTTTTTCTTGGACTAAAGAAAGGGCTTCCGCCCGTCGATCGAGTTCTGCATTGTAGTTACGGATCTGCTGGTCAAGTGCATCAACCTCTGCACGAAATTCGGTCTCGCTTGCTTCCAGGTACTCCACCGCTTTCTCAAAACTATCGAGATAGGTCGTTATCTGTGACTCGCTAAAAGGGGTCACATACAGAACCTAACTAACTATCTGATGCACGACTCAACGCAAAAAACGCACTTAAATTTGTACTTCAGTCTTCTAGCGTCAAGGCTATGATAGTCAAACGAAACATTACCACGAGCACCTTATCTTTGTCGCTATAAGGCCTTGACATAGTAGTACTAACAATACTTACCTTAAATAATCCATATAAAATCATAGTTAGGTTATGTCCGATTAGAAAAAAAATACTTGCGCCGTGTACCAGCTGCACTGGCTCGTACTATCCTTAAATTTGAAGCTTGAAATCGAATTCTGAATCCAAAGCTATTATGCTCATGCTATTTTAAATAGTGATATATTGTCTAATCGTACCCGTACAAGGAGTCGTTCGGTTCCTCTGCGAATCCAGTGAGCAGCTGCTGAGATGTGGGCACCAAGCCAGCTTCCTCATGAACAGTTACGTTTCCTGTCATTTTCAATCGCTGCAATTGGTAGCTGATGCTCGTCGTGTTGCCAGCTGTGGATACGACTGGCGCGTTACTAGTACGTAAAAAGCATGCATTTTTCGAAGGAGGCAGCAGTGTTCATAGGTTTCGGCCCGCCACCATTCGAACATTGGAAATAACAATAATAAATTAGTGATAATTTGATTGATGATATATCTCGTGCTCGGTTGTAGGTTTTTATTTTTGTCAATTCTTTGAATCTCCGCAAGAGTAACATTATGGGGCTTTTGAGCTATACGGGACACAAATCTGATCCATGGGTTGAGCGCACAAATTGAAACTTTTTTAATAGTTGCTTCTTGTTGCCGCTATATGTAAGTTAAGATGCTAACAAATGGTGATTCTAATATGCGAAGCGTTAGATCGGTGAAGTTCCACTCAGGGCTTACGGTGCAATGACTTCAATGGATTGCGTCGCTTTTATATCAATGAGGAATATTTCTTGCTGGTTCATATATATATTCGGTTATAATGGATAATAATCTAACATGATAATTTTGACTGTTAATTAAGTATAAACTATTAGTAACAATCACATCAACGCTGTCCCCTGTGTGAGGGAGCAGTGTTTAGGGGGTAGCATTTAGGCTTGATCTCGGTGAAACAATGTCCTGAAATTAAATCATTCAATCTACAGAATAGCCAAATTGCTCTCTCTGCTTGTTGCCGAACCGCTGACGTATATAGCTCATACGGCGCAGTCATTTTCTTTCTATGTAATTCCTCATAACACCTGCCACCGTCTTTTAGACTCTACACGAGAACACCAACCTATTCTGCCAGTGATAACTAAACCTGTTACAGCGAAACAATGGATTAATCTCTGGACATCCGATGAGCCCGTTTCAGCCTAAAACCTGGTCCTAAAAATGGTAGTTCTTACTATGCTGTACTCCAATTATTGCAAACCATAAAATACAGCCAGAATGAAAGTTCTGCGCCAGACACACAAAGGTACCATTCTAACCAAACGCTGGTCGAAACTTACAGAAAACCTCTAAAAAATTAACAAAAATAAATATTATTTTCTTAAAATCAAGCAATCTATTGTTTCAGTTGTTTTCTTAAGGCTCACCGTCACTATAGAGAAAGTGAATGGGTAATCGTACTATACGCCTATTTTTGCTTGGTAGCTTTGATTGAAGCCGTTTGGCTCGTGTTAAAGGTCAGCTGCCTTACGCGCTGCCAACGCGATTCCAGATGCAAATACTCGAAACATTTTTTTAAGATATCTAAAACAATAAGTGGCCTAAAAATATTTATCTACTTTTATGTTTTCATACGATCGTGCATATCGCATTAATTAGACTTCCCAAAAACTATAAAACCTGATAGACCGCACGTATAATCCCAAAGAGTACAAAATCTCTAGTAGTTATATTACTGCATAACGGGAGTCTATGAACGGGTTAATAAATAGACTGTTTTGGGACACGAGATAACACAGTTAATTAATGAGTAGCCATACTAAGATTGACGCAATGACATATACGTTTCCCTAAATGAGATCTTCTCGTTAGGTGCCGATGGTTTACGCGTACGTTTATACTCAGGTACCATTGTACCGTTGATTGTGTAAGGCTTTTGAAAACTCGGTTAAAAACAGTGTATATCACAGATAAGTGGATTAATATTGCGTGAACTTGGAGATCCAAGCGTCTAACTGAAAGAGACAGGCGTCGCTGTTCAAGGTCTGCCAACAACACAACCCTTGTGAAAAAAGCAAATTATTATATACACCATAAGGTAAGTGTAAAGGTAGTAAAAAAGGGATCTTTTTTTTTGTGAAACGTTGCCTGTTTTTTTTAATCTAACGTATATTGACAGTGCGCTTCTATAGGAGGACACGACGACGTCACGTGATGCAGGAAGTTGGCACGATCTGTATTTGAAACCTGAACATTGTAGGCATCTTATCAGCCTCAAAATAGAGACACTGATCGGCTGTCAGGGAGGTAGTGGAGGACATGGACGGATTTTGATTAAATTTTTTACGGTTCCGCCCAATGCCTCAGCCCCAGTTAATTTTTATAGGTAGTGCAAATTGCTTAGCTCGAAATATTTTTCATGCTTGTAATTACAATAACCACTGTCCGAGATCGGTAAATGCCCAGGTCTCATTTTTCATATGATGGTATACGATTCGAGCTTTTCAAGGTGTCTCTAAACTTCTCTCTGTCTGCTGTGATATCAGGTACAGCCTGACTCATCAATAACAATTGGCCTGAATCGTCTGAAGCTTAACATTTAAATGTTTTCCTTATGAAGCGAATATCTGACTGACTTTCGCGCATTGTAGTGGCACATTGTTCCGTATGCTGCTATTTTCACTATGAAAATAATTCACATAGAGAATGATAGTTTATAGCATTGTTATTTTACTGTTTTGTCCTGCTTTTTGAGGCATTGTCGATTATAGATACGAATTGCATAAGTCAACCATTTATTGAAGCTATGCCCGCATATTAGACATTGCTTCAGATCGAGCTCCCAATACGTTACCTTTAGCAAATGTAACAGACTAACACAGAATGCTTTGCTTTTTATTGGTATAGCTAATAAATGGATCAGACTTCTTAAGTTGATACAGAGCTATGACCCTTTTTGATCCACTATGTAAAGGGCGTAGGATCTTACTGGGCAAATACAGGAACTTATCCAATCGCTAATTATATTAGTAATATCTAACTTGCAACGTAATGTTCGTGAACAAATCGAACATGAAATACGGCCATCAGCGCTAAACCGGAACTACGAAACACGCTCAACGAAAATATCTGTTACAATCCACACGTTTCAAGCCCCATTTTTGGGCTCTGGAGAAGCAATCTACGTTGCATGCATGATTTAAGCGGCCGATTAATAACAATCAAAAGGTGGATCTTGAATTGGCTTTAAGTTATGACGCAATCTGGCAGGAGAGAGTATTGGCTTTTTGGAAGTTCCAGCTTGTCGGTATCGTATCGACTTCTGCCAGACCTCGGACCCCACTAGCGTCACTTCATTGTACTAAAAAAATAATCATAGATTAATCTGTGCGTCGCGCGCAGCAGGTCGTGTTCTTTTAGTATATCAGTAGCGTGTACCGAATATGCTAGAATTACAATAGAAGAATTACAGTAGAAGAGTATTTAACTCGGATGTTAAAGTTGCCATTGCTAAGTTATACTGTTAGGTTTAAGTTGTAGATGAGCACATTCATTACTTAATGTGGTTCGAAGATTATCAGTCGGAACACCTCCGAGAGCGCTTGAATCAACCATTTCGGTTGCATCGGTCTAAGCTCCGAATACGTGGGGTGATAAATAAGTATTTACATCCTGTGAACGAACAACAAAGATAAACTACGTATGTGGTATAAAAGCTTAAACAATTTTTGTTGACATTTGATTAAATTTACAGACGCGTTTATGACAGTCAATAAAACAAATATATGCTATTGACGGAGTAAAAGTATAGATGTACTGAACCTACTGTTTGACGTATCGTCTAAGAGAAAATAGATGCAGTTATATAAGCCAGTTTAGCTAAACACCTTATTTTTCTTTCTGCGAGACTATGGCCTTCCGCTGCAAGAAGAAATCTTGAAGTTAGATTTCTAAAAGCGACAATTCGAAGCACAACCAGCTTGTGTCATGGATAACATTCGCTATAAAGTTAGTGAATAAATTCATGAGAAATACATCAGGCAAACAAATTCATTAAAAATAAAAACTTAACAGGTATAATCGGGTGTGCCGTCGCACTAAGGAGCCCTCCGATATTCGCGTAGAGGACTCTTGTTTAGGTCCAACTACTGGAAGCTCTGTGACTTTTTTTGTACTGTCGACGCTTCTCATTGCAACAACGCTCAATTTTCAATTAGAAATAACAAAAAAGTGTTTTTTTACCGTTGTCTAGCCAGCATTATTTATACGATATCCGGATACTGTTATCTCAAATAGAGTCAATGAAATTATTATCATGCCTGCTAGATGATATAAAAGGGTTACAAGGCCTTTTGCTCACCTTTGCTTTGGAAAGTTACTTTAGTTGTCCATAAAAACAAAAAATAAAAATGCTTAAAAAATATAGTGAACTGTTGTTGGATAATTTACAGACGCTTCGTTTGAACGGTAGCTTTTTAATGAAGTAGAGGTAGTCTTCGTTGCCTGAAAGAGATAGATGGGTGGGCACTGTGTGACGGGATTCGGACCAATAACTTATGACCTCCCAGCCAAAAACACGATCGCCCGAAACGCAGCAACGCCTTTACACCGTCGACAGCAGTTCCCTTCATCAACAACCTATTACAATTTAGACTGTTTACAGCAAAAAATCCGCAGAAGATATTATCACTGCGTTAAAACGTCCTACAATGTTGAGACTTTGTCAGTTGCTCTATGTGATGCCCCAATGGAGTTACCCTAATTGTCGACGTCGAAGACGGTCTCAGGGTTCAAACTCGCGGAACCAGGTTATCGTATTATTTTTCATTTTATTTATTACATTATATTATTTGTTATATTTAAGCTCATTGTTCCCATTATAGGTGAAGTAATAACAAATGAAAACGTGGCTTATTTAGATTTACTTGTGTTTGTTAGTTATCAAGCCACTAGAGAAGAGAACACGCTAGAAAATATCGATTTACCATGGCAATGCAATTTACCTGGCGTTCATAAAGTGACAGCTGTATAGCGAGACCGCTGAGGACAACACAAAACAAGAGGGTGTTTTTGACAATAGAAGCGAGCGAGCGAGCGAGTTCGCCTTTCTTCCGAAGAGATATGTCCGATTGTATAGGTTATTAAAATTTTTTTTGAGATATCTGATATTTAATTTTTGTAAAAACGCAGTGGGATTTTAGGCGTTCTCGGCTAACTAATCGTGTAACTGGCAGAAGAACTATCGGCATTTTTTGTCACGATCGCCTGAGCTATAATATCACGTAGTGTTCACTGTTGCACGTATTGCGTATGTAAACTTAAACGCTGTAGCGTTACAACTGGAACAAAAAAACAACTCAAGTTCAATTTTTGCATGCGTAAGCAGAGCAGTCACTTTTTTCCTGCAGTGGCGTAACGTCTCATTTGGCAGCCGCCAGACGAGACGTAATAGCACAATAGGTATACGAATAGGCATTGATCTTTTACCTGCTATCAGTCATGAGGCAGGAGAGGATACTGGCTCGTGGAATTCAAAAGCATCGAAGCCGTGGCGACCTTCGCTGAACTTATTCCGTTAAATAGGTACATTCGTTCGTTTCACCTGGCACAAGCGGCTGGTGACAGATGCGTTGAGTATACGTAGATCTGCCTTTGGACAATTTGATGGTCGTTCGGGTATGGAAGAGTGTTTCTCGACGCATTAGCGCCTTACACTGAGTATTATTTCAACAATACCAAGGAAAAATCACCCAGCTTCCGCCCTGGAACTACAATTCTCTGCTTGCTATACAATCGACTATATTCTTCATTAAAAATGGTTGGTAGAGCTGATTTAATCCTTTTGAGTACCTATAATATAACATTTTGTGGTTTGAAATTTTGAGACGTGAACATTTGAGGACTGGCTAAACCTGAGAATTTGATTAGTTCAGGAATATAGCCCTACATGGAACTGTATGATTTCCCTTCACACTTTACATTTGGACCCATTATTTGACACTATGCAGGCTTCGTTTAAAGGCCAAAATGTAGCGATAAAGGCTTACGTAAAATAGATTCCCGTAGTCTGCAACATATACTACAGTCCCGACATAGAGCAACGTCCGAAAAAAAACAGTGCAACGAATAGGTTCGAATACGGTAGCGGGATAGTGTAGTTGAAGAGAAAATATCAACTTACCGAAAACAGCGTTTTCGTACATGATAATGCTTTGATATGCCGAATATTATAGGCCGACCACTATCGAGTTCCCGCGACCGCTGTCAACGGTAACAAAGCGTCTGGCGCAATTACGCCTCGCGAAATCGCCTGCTACATTGTGGAAACAGCTGTGATCTTGCACCCTTCTCAGAAGCAGCTCATTGAGGTCGGTCAGCTGCAGGATGGCTATCCAATCAACGATAGACTAAGCGTAATCTATGACTATTTGATAGGGCGTTCAACTGAAAAGTGACGTTAGGTATTGTGCGCAAGCACGGGCCAGTCTTAGGAAATATGGCGTCTCGGCCCTACGTGTAATAGAACCTAGAGATCTAACTGCAGTCCTGAAGTAATTCAGGATCCAGTTGACACCGCGCTAATAGATAAGAAATGGTGTCACTGAGCAGAGCTAGCAAATGCCAAAAGATTTAGCTAAGTCAGCAAGAGAACTGGGCGAATTTTAGATGGTAAAAAAAGATTTAGATGTTCGTTTTAGACTACAGCCACACATCCGCAAGGTGAAATGATGGGCGACATAACGCAGCTGGCCTGGTTCAAGTGGCTACTTCGTCTAATGAACGCGAGGAAAGTTGTTGATGTTGGGGTTTTCACGGGCTGCAGCGCTCTCGCAGCCGCACTTACAATTCCGCCGAACGGCAAGGTGTACGCCCTCGACGTCTGCGAAGACTTTGTCAACATAGGAAGACCCTTCTTCAGACAAGTACCTATTTGAATTATGCCTAAAAGTTCGTTGAGATTATGCCAAGTTCATTGCAAATAAGTCCTTCTGACGCCATGTAAAGGCACCATTTAAATCTCTCTTGATTTCGGGAGATTCTATGGCCGAGATGAGTTACAGAGCGCACCAGAGCTTATATAGTTTATTCTTCTAAAATAGGCTGGCGTTGATTACAAGATTGAGGTGCGCATTGCCCCGGCTATTCAGAGCTTGGAGGATCTTCTGGCAGAGCTTGGTGGGGACTCTATTGACTTCGTATTCCTTGATGCGGTTAAGATGGAGTATCGTGAATACTACGAAAGAGCACTCAAGCTTGTTCGACCTGGAGGTGTTATCGCTTTTGATAACGTAAGTGACAATATTGGTAACCTGAAAAGCTAATAAATGAATGCACACAATTGAATGAGACAATTTCTATTTGTTACTTTCTTATATATGTTATATATATATGACCACACTGAAATGTATGTAGTTTATATGTATAAGTTCCGATGTTATCGTATGTCATTTATATGTAAGAAAGCTTGCTACGTAGGTTTAGAAGAAACATCGATGCTAGATAATTTAAAAAGAAAGAAATAGCAAATATTCACACATTATCAATTATCAAACCTTCGCTGCACATGTGACGACCCGTATGGAAGTCTAAAGATTTTGATCATAGTCGTCCTTCGCTAACGGTACCCTTTTTGCCTTCTCCTACTATACAGATGTTGCAAGGCGGCCGCGTGGTCAAACCTACGGCCAAGGACTCCCAAGCAAATTATATTCGAGAGCTCACAATGAAGTTGCGGGACGATCCTCGAATCGACTTCTCTCTGTTGCCAGTTGGAGATGGATTGGCTCTAGCTCGTAAACTTTAATTATACAAGGGAATTCTTCATCGGCAATGGCAGTAAATAAATACGAACGAACAATAAAAAAGCTTAGTAAAGATAAGTGTATTCTTCTGGCACTATTTGAAGCTCAGATATTTTGTTGACATTGAAAGTGGATCAACTTTACCTGCTTAAAAGAGATATACCGGCACTATCGTAAACATGCCTAGTAAAATATTACTATTCTGTTTCATGGCTTTCTGCACAACCAGTACAAGCTGATGCTTAGAGAGTTATGTTTCTTTTTAGCCCTGTATGTTCAATAGACTCTGACAGGAAAATACGTACGCACGTAAGATAAATAAAAGACAGAAATCAATGCCAGCAGAAAAATTTGAGTTCGGAAAAGTGCTATAGAGCATTGCGTCGTATAGACAAGCATCTCATTAACTGGCCCAGGTTAAAAATCCTAAGCAACGGACAATAACGTGCTAGAAACGAAAGGTACGTGTCTTGCATGATAACAATAGTCGTGTATCATTTATTATAAGTAAATAAGATAATACAAACAATCAAACATTTTCATCTTTTTAAGGGTATATGTAGAAAAAAAAAACATATTATTGGTTTTTCTGTCATCCTGAACAACTTACCAAAAATTGGGTAGGGCTTTTCCTTACGGCATTTCTTCGTTTTCCGAAACGTGCTGTTTCGAGACTGGTCTAGAACATTGCACAAAAACTACTTATGATCTTTACTTAGGGAATGTTCAGCTTTCAAGTAAAAATAACTAAAACGTTACATTGGATAATGTAACGTATAGTTATTATTATTATTATTATATATACGACTGCATAGTATCATTAGCACGATGTCTTTATGTTCTTAGTTTTGAAAAAAGCAGAGAAACAGAAATAGAGAAGTAGAAATGGGGCATGTAAGATGTATAGAGAACTAGTTCGAACATCTTTCGCGACAGTTTGTGCGTGTATACGGGCTATGCTTAATTAATGAGGGATGACTTGTGCGGTAGCAATTGATATACCGCTTTCTGGACGATCAGAAGTACAAGTTTCTTGATAAAAGTTATATCAAGGAGAGGACAAATCAAAATACCGTAATTGCATTCGTTGCCCCGGTTGACGTTGCGGTAGACCTATCTCGCCCTCCATGTCATAGCGATTTTTAAATTTCAAAGCCACACAGCAAGAGAAGCCATTCGTAGAGAACAGTAAATAAAAGCGTATCATAGTAGAAAAGGGTCATACTGACCAGAACGGCCGCGATCTGGCTTCTTGTCGCAAGACCTATTTTATTGCGTAGATAAACATGGATTTTTTTTAGGAGATCCAATGTCAATGTTGGTAGAAAGGTCAGGTCGGAAAGGAAACGTAAAAATAGATTAGTCGTGTTATAGAACGCATGAAACTAGAATAATTTTTACGTTCTTCTTTGTAGTGAAACAGGTATGTGTCAACAGACTGGAGGAACGGATAATTGAGAATTGGATCTAATCGAATTGCTGGCTTCAAGGCCAATATATCGGGTGAACTTTTGTCCTAAGTGATGAAAACGTGTGAACTTTAACCGAAATTTCTACCGGAAAATACGCTAGGAGTCTTCGTTCGGCTTTTATTTTGCAAGAGACACCGGGGATTTTTGAAGAGTTTAGCATATATACTTTTTGGCGTTGTACGTCTGCTATTTGGGTCGTTAGGTATTACTTCAGACAGCTAGTGCCCGCTAATACGGCGCAAGGCTTGTCTGCGCCATGATTCGAACATGTACGATCGACTGTCCGCCAAATACATTATCCATGGCGCTATCAAGGGAGCTTTCGAAAGTTTATTCAGTACTTCAGAAGCTAAAGTATGCCAGTGTCATTCCCAGCTGGGGCATCAGAATTTGTTACCCGTGTAGCATTTTACGCGGACCTGAACTGCTTGTAGAACGGCGTTTAACATACACGTTTGTATAGTCCACAACGCGGTAGAGACTTAATTTAATCAACGCCCTTTTGGACATGATAACTATCGAATTGGCTTACATCGTTTCGAAATCAACACATTGCACCGAGTGAAAACAAAAGTCTAGAGAGCTCTTGTTTAAACTAAACGTATCATCTAAAAGGTTAGCTTTATAAATTCATTGAACAAGCAATGGCGTAAACAGTATAGACACGTGCGGTCGTGCATATATGTATGTATATGCATGACTAGTATTGATCGAAAGCGGAGCCAGCTGAGAATAGTGCATGGACGGCAGATGATACGGTTACAATTTCTGGTTTACTATATGTTAAATCTGGCCATTTCTGAGCGACTGACTTTCCATACTAAATGCGTTCTCAGCCAGAACTTACACAATAGGTTAGTGTTAATCGAATTCTAATTGATTTTAGCGATTGTACACAATGATATCAGCTGGATCATTTCTAGCGATGACCGTCAAGATGTCACCCTTATACCGATATATGACTCCGATTCGCAGAAGCCGTGACCCGCTTGGCCTGTGCTAAAATATAAACGTTTACTTATACTACGCCAAATGAAATTACACGTTATATAAATTGTCATAGAGTACACATAGTTAACTTCACGCATGGCTTAATACGTTTTTGTTTTGCTGCCGCCCAAACGTTAACTACTAACGTGCTCTGCGAAGTAAAGAAATACGAGTTACTAAGTAATAGAGCCATTGGCTTGCATCAGGGAATCGCAGGAAGTTATTCAACCGATCTGTTAGATTCTCAGGCGAAATTTACCTGCCTGAATACGTCTGGACCGCAAAAAAGCCAGATCATTCTATATAATGTCGTTGTCGACCAAGGAACCCGCCTGCGAACAACTCAACGCTTTCGACTTTAATTGTATATATTCATCTATGAGTTTGCATATTTTTAGTAAGTACTCATAAGGCTATAAAAAACTGTGTCTTTTTTGCTGTAAGCACGTAGTCCATCTAGATCTAAATTATGCTCTCTCGGAGCACTTCAAGCGCTTAGACAGGCCACTTAGACGTTTGATTAACTTCCTTATATTTGCCCAAGCGATCCGTACAGCGAGAAATAGAAGTTCCTCCCCAGTAAGTCTGCTAACGAATCAAACTTGCCCCTGGCAAACTTCTATGCACCGTACAGCGCCTTAAAAGGAGTTCGGAGATTTTCGCGAACATCACAAAAAAACGACTGGAAATCGAGCCAAAATGCCAATAAAAGGGCGTTCGGCACCCACAACCTACAGAAATGATAGCTTCAGAAATTGAAGGCATGGGGAAAAATCGGATCAGTATACCCCCCAGCCAAAGAACAAATAAAATCAAAACTAACCTATTTCTGTTAACCTGTTTATTTTCATATTATAACGTATTCGAAACAGGAGGTATTGCTTGTAGATGACAAACATTTCCATTCCATCATATGTACGGTAGCAATATGTAATTGTCTATGAAGAGTCTTTGAGCCTTTATTTTCATGAGATTCTTACGCGCCGATAGCAGATTAGAACCGGCATTAAAAACAGCACCAGGCTAGCAAAAAAAAGAAAGAACAACTCCGAACGTCGATCTAAACTATTCCTCTCTCTCCTTAGACATCTTTGTTAGCAGCTTTTTAGTTATAACAGCAACGTTTGAGTTGATCGAAGAGACGTTAACCTCAGTACAGGTGTTGCCTCAGGAGGTGCAGATGCTCTGTGGATAATCAAGATGGCTACATTACGATAAACTTGTTTGTCCAGTATAACAATGAATTAGCGTGTGCGTTGACCATAGACTCGCGACCAATCCCACTCCAACCGAGTTCGTCTACGCTAATTCATAGAGATCACTATTCATAACAGTTCCTTTGATACAGTCAACTGCAACGGTCGGCAGCCGCAATGGTCTGCCAGTACCAGCTCTCCCAGCTTAGCTCGCATTGGCTATATAACTACATGCGAGCCTACAAAAACACTTGTGGACTCATTACAGACTACGCGTGTACCAATAAGACCATTTCTGCCATCGTTAGTGCAATACCTGTCGCATGTTGTACCGAACGCCCTAACCACTATTCGTTCTTAACCGCTAGAGGGAGCACTGCGACAACGGAAACAATCGCGCCGCTCAGTAAGACGTTTGGCGGGAATGCGGCCGACACTCGAGTCGCCGTTACCTTTACGTTTATGTGGATATCGACCCCAGCACTACAACAACATACTCCTTGATATCAAAACTGTGATAAGTACCCGTATCTTTGTGCCAAATAAAACGATGTCACGATAGTTTTGCCTGTTCCCTCTATTGACTGCAAGAAGGGGGGTAGCGACAACGTCAGCGACAGGAAAACAATAGTAGCACTTAAGGGGAAAATGGCACCCCCCAATATGAAAAAGCTACTCTGGCGCGCATCAGTGCCGTGTTGATACATTTCTATGAGGAGACATACATTATGTGAATCCCGAAAACTTTTGACGGAGTAGCGAAAGTAGCTTTAACATTTCACAGGAAGTGATACCTCCACCAGCGGTATATAACATCGTAATAATGAAAACAACTGCAGGACCAAAAAGCTGTCAAAGCGACAAGTACAGATTAAGCTACGAGAGGCCACGTTAACGGCAATTCGCCTTTGATTGAAATGGCTCGCCTGTTCTCGGACCATAATGCTATTACTCCAATACTTATGCGTATAGCAAACGTAATGGCACAACGGGTGGGATCCTATCTCTGTCACATTTTGCTTGTAGCTAGGCAGTCGCTGAAGAGGGGCTACACCGGCGACGCATCGGCTGACTGCTCCGTAACTTGCGCGGTGTGGTAGCAAAGCCAGATGTACATACGTCCACAGGAGGGCAATAACACCTAGACAAAAATGCTCCGACCCAACGTCGAGCTGATCGCAAACAACCAGCGAAAAAACGCTAGACAGAAAACGACGGAAGACAGAGCGTCAGCGGCCGCTTTCTGTAACAACAATGTTATTCGACATGCGAATATGGTCGCTCAAGGCGCGGTGCAGCGCGGCGTACCTTTGAACTAACACGCGTCTGTGTAAGTAAGTACATAATCAACCAGATGCATAGCGAGTTTAAAATATCGAAAAGCAACGCTATTTACTCTCCGCCTGAATAGAAAAAGAACAGAAA